TATTTAACAGCTGAGATAACTGAAGCTCTGAGACATTGAGTGATTTTCTTCTAACTCAGGCAAGTCTGACTCTAAGGTTCAGACTCGGATACACCACGTGGTAGGGAGCCCAAGTCTCTTCTTCATTGTAGCTTCTGGGCAGAGCATGCCACCTGGCAGGTGGTGAGAACTCGAGAAATAGTTTTTGCATGAATGGATGGAATGGGTGAACTAATAGAAATGAGTAGAAGGCAATAGAGGGTGTGGGAGGAGGCTTAGTGAATAAATCCTAGGTTAAGGTCAGGCAAGGTGGGGGAGTGTCCACCACCAAACAGGTTCTGAGGATCAGAATGGGAGTAACCCACTTTAGAAAAACCCTGTCTTGTGGTTTGTAATTAACTCATTATGCAACCTAGGCTTGTCCCTTCTCCTAGGGTCTCAGTTTCTTTGGCTCTAAACTGGGGGATTGGTCTATATTAGATGTCAGCAAATATTTTCTGTGAGGGGCCCCATCAAAAATATTGTCGGCTTTGCATTACATAATCTAAGTCCCAGTCAGAACCACTTAAGTCTTTGGTTGTAATGGGAAAGCAATGTGAATGGGAAAGTAATCTGTGAATGAGAGAGAGGTGTTCCAGTAAAACTCCACTTGCAAAAACAGCAGGTCGCTGGAGGTTGCCGACTCCTGGTCTAGAGGATCTCTGGGGTGCCTTTGAATCCTCAAGGTCTCTGATTTTCAGATTTAGAACCAGTTGTGCCCAGGATAGAAATGACCATGTGTGACCATGGTGTCCCTAGCAGACATTGCTAGTTGACCACAGGGCTCCTACCAGATGAGAGGGTCTTTATCAATACAGCACAGATAAACATTTCTAGCTGCAACCTTCTCCCTTTGATTCCACGTTTGGAACATTTGGACAGCTCCCGATGACCTTGACTGTGACACTGAGGAGGATAGGGAGGAACAGAGCCTCTCTCATTTCCATCCCGAGGTGAAAAAATTCACCTGTCTCCCTACAGGCACTCCAGGGTCAGAACCAAAATCCTGACTGCAAGCCAAGCTGGTTGCCCTGAGAGTGATGCCACCCACTGCCGGAAGTCCCATCCTCCACCTCGCCTTGCCTGCGTCCCTGGGCTCCCACGCTGCCGGCAGTGAAAGCACCGGGCAGAGTAGTCGTGCAGGGCATGCTAATAGTACTCCTCCTGCAAAGTCAAAGCACAGTGAGTCACTTCAGATTGCCTGCTGCTGCTGGACTGTTTGGTTGGTGAATACTTCTAAGCGGTCCAGGTGGAGTCATCGCTGACTCTCCGATGTCTATTTGAATTTCCACGCACCCTCACACGGAGGAACCAAGGGGGAAATCCCCTGTAGCCAAAGCCATATGACGTGAGAACTTGGGCTTGCAGTCAGATCTGGCCGGACGGCCACTCCCTTGAGAGTTACACGTGATCTCTGCAGCCTGTGGCACGTGTTGCTGTGCGGTCAGCTGCGTGCAGTCAAGCCCAGCTCACGGAGAGCCCCTGCGGTGCAAAAGTAGAACTTCTCCATAGGGCTTGGTTGAGTGTCATCTTAACAGAGGCCGACCACCAGGATTTTCCTTCTTCTCTACCGCGGGATGTGTTTGAACCACCAACCCTTAGCTTCAGCAGTTGAACACAAACCACTGTTCCACGTAGGGACGTTGTGTAGCATATAGAATTATTTTACTAAATGACTCAAACTCTCTGCTATTAAGTCAGTTCTGACCCATAGCGACCCTATAGGACAGAGTAGAACTGCCCCGGGAGTGTCCGAGAGTGTGACTTTCTATGGGAGTAGAAAGCCTTACCTTTCTCCCTCGGAGGGGCTGATGGTTTTGAACTGCTGACCTTCACCTTTGGCAGCCCCAGTTTTGGTTATCATGAGGATTTGGAGATGAGAAGCAATCCTCTGGTATTTTGTTTGTTTGTTTCTTTAAATCTTCTCCTTCTTGTTGGGAAAACAAACCCCAGTCCAGCAGTTTCTACAGGTGCAATTTAGGGGCATTAGCTTCTTCAAGCTGTACAATTCTCACCCTTCTTTTCTGAGCCTTCCTTAGCACAAAGGCATGGTCCCTTAAGGGACCCATCTCGTGTTCCAGGTCATTGTCAATGTGCTTCCATACAGATGGTTTTGGAGAGAGCATAATGCTCAAGGCAGCCCCTTTTCTACTGGATAAGCTAAATGATGATTCAATCTTAATAAGACTTGAGGAGATATGTTTGGTTTCACGTTAAAGATGATCTCAGGGCTATAGCCTCTGGGGTCTTAAAAGCTTGAAGGTAAACAAGTGGCCATCTAGCTCAGAAGCAACAAAGCCCACATGGAACAACATATCAACCTGTGTGATCACGA